GGTGGCGCTAGGTAGCTAAAAATGCTAACATTTTGTTAGTGGTCTTCAATGGCATTAAAACGATTAAAACGCTGCTGAAGTTAATTCATAGGTTAATCCAATGTGTCTGTGTCCCTTTGAAATGATTTCTGATAATCCATAAGCATTAAAACTGCTTTTCCGTTTCCAGATGTCAAAGCTAGAGATAGGTTCACTCTGATGGAAAATTACATGCGCGAAGCTCCCACCTTTTCTCTTCACAATGAGTGTGTGGGGGACTCCCCCTTCGATTCTATTGGCTCTAACGGTCAGAAAGAGGTGTTAACCATCAAAATCGACCAAGGGGGGCCAGAGATATGGGAAATCCACCCAAATGACCCCAGAAGTGGTTTCTTTTTGCTAAATCTCTCTAAAAAGTTCAAATGTCACTTGTTTTGCATCAATCTTGATACAGGGTACTTATTATATGTTGTACTTTGGATTCCTAAAGCTATTAGTCTACCTTACCATCATCCAAGGGTAGTTTTCACTATAAGTACAAAATAATCTTTGGACGGACACTATCATTTACAGTTTTTTACTATGTCAAATCTGAATTTTCTTTAAAATAAAAAACATCTATATTGATTCTGACTTTTCTACATCCAACTCACAGGTTTATCATTACTTTGAGAAAAAGATTATTAATTTAACCCTTTTAGAAGGGAAGATATGGTCATTTGTTCTGGGAATGTCATTTTCGAGCCTGAGACCTGAAAAACCAACACACTCTCGCTCCCAACGCGTCCAGGAGCGACGCTTGGTCAGAATTCCGTGGCGTCCAGTTGTGACGCGCCGAGTCTCCATCAGCGTCATAAACGGATGCAAAGAGCTTTCAACTGATTGCAATGTATTCCCATCGGCGGCGGTATTTGACGCTTAGGGAAGCACGGCATTCGTTTGTGTCGGCAGCTGTTAAAGGCAATGTGAGCGTCCATTCCCATTGGATAACGGAGAATTGTACACCCGGAAGTAAGTATTCTCCTTACTGTCGATTGATTTGACAGTGATATCTCCATTACTCATCCACTCAAAAACACCAGATTACCTTTGTTAATTAAACGACATTGATAGGTTTAAATTGTGTACAATGCTTTTGTGTTTTTTCACTTCAATTCTGAGACAACTTGTTTTCTCTGAAATGTGGAGCGCCAAAGAGACTACACTACCCACAATCCCCAGCTATTGTTGTGACGACTTCTGTCCGCTTTGCGACAAAACCTTGTGATAAGTGAACAAGCTCTGTGATTGGATGAAACATAAATATGTGATATCTGCACTACTCATTAACTAAAAAACACCAGATTATCCTTGTTAATGAAACGACATTGATAGGTTTTAGTGTACAATGCTTTTGTCACGTTTTCCCTTTCAATTCTGAGAAACAAGTAGTTTTGAGTTTTGGATGGCCGAAGACACTACACTACCCACAATCCTCAGCTATCTTCGCAAGGCCAGGTCTCGAGGTCACGTAGTTCACGTGATACATCGCTCGGAACCTTGAGACACCAGCAAGGTAAGCTGTAATAAACTCGACTGCTCACTTAATTTTCGACAATATTCAAATATAACACAAATAAAATATTTGGGTTATGTATTCAAGTCCCACCCAGGCAGCAGGATTCGTAAGACAGTACGAGAAACTTAAAGAAAATGTAGTCTGTAACAGTTATTTTCTTTTTTGTAATAACGGGTCATTTAGAAGCTAGCATTAGCCACCGTTTGGCTAGCTAGCTGTGTTAGTACAATGTCGTAGTCATCAAAGGAGCTAGCACTGTTAGTTGTATCGCTCATCAAAACAAAGAGGACTCTCTGGAGCGAAAGTATTTGTAATTATTATTATTTATTTATTATTTATTACTTAGCGGGAGTGTTTTACGTGTTCGGTGTAATGACGTAACATTTTTAGGACGCGTCACTGCGGTTGCTGGTCATTTGTTTTTTTTACCATAAGCTGTCATCAAGAAGGAATGCCATAATTTAATGTCATGATGTTTATATGTGAACAAATTACACAGTACATTAGAAGTCAGTACACATTAGCCTAATTATTAACAGAATGTTGTTCAATTTTGTTCAAAATGGAGTCACTTAGCATTGGCGTTTAAATGTTACATTCTATTATACAAAAACCCCACTTGTCATTTGTGTTTGAATATATTGAATATTCACATATGAATATATTAATTTGATTCAAACCATTGGAAGTTTGCGCACTATCTCAAGTATTCACAGCATATTAGACTGTATCTTCTATCTCTTCAATTGCATTTAATATAGAGCATGAACTTAATAACATATTTGTGTATTTGAGAACAAATTGATCAACTGACAGCAAACATTTTTGAGATAATCCCTCTATGTTTAACTTTCATTTGCAGAATGACAAAGCCCAAAACCCAACTGTGCCCCTCCTGCCAGGCCCCAAATTCCCTTGGGCGTAAAACATGTGTGGCGTGTGTCTGCCCCCTTCAAATAAATAAATTAAAAAAAAAAGAAGAAGCGGAATTGAAGGACTCTAGCTGGGGGGCTTCTGTGAAGAGCAACAGGAACGCCAGCAGGACCGTTAAGTCGGCCGAGCTATCTGTGAGTTTAAATGACTTATTATTTAAGATGTTTGGCCTCTCAGACGATTACATATCTTATTTGTCAAACAGCCTTGCCCTCAGTGAATGTGAAACCATTTTTCGGGCTTTAACAAACCAAAAGATTTGTATCATTGATCAATGTGCCTGTATGCAATCTTTTTCGCTCCAATTCTTGCAGGTTCTTAAACTACACACCCTTGGCTCCAGCCCGGTCCTTTTCCTTTGCAATAAGGGCCGCAGTGGGGAGATCCGTGGGGATCTGGTCCACCATTTTGGTAACACTGATGGGGTCGTTAGGGAGATCCTACTCAAAATGAGGAAACTCTATGAGTACCTCCTGAAAAGTAAGATCATCCTTGTACTTTATTATCTCATTGTGTAGTCGTCCATGGGCTTTGTGTCAATGCATTCATCAAATTCACACTTCTGTTACATCTATCCCGTTATATCATTAAAATGTCATCCCCCCCTGAGCCTTTTTTATATAATACAACCTATGCTGTATTATAGAACAAAGGCTGTCAACATGGGCTTGTCAGGGCCAGCATGTTATCACTGTGAACACTAAGATACTAATATGAGGGTACCACACTAATGGTATTGCAGTTACCTACTTTTTAGTTTTTATTTATAATTAATTATTTGTATGCATATTTCTTTATTTTGTATTGTGTTTTAAGCCTGTACAGCACTTTGGACAACATTGAAATGTGCTATACACAAATATTTAAAGGGTTGAATTGAATGCAAATGTCGACATTACTCACCTGTAGTTAGCAAGCATGCACATTATGCATGTGTCTGTAATACAAACACATCTCTGCAGGCATCATAAAGATATGAGGCTGCTCTGTTTTCCCAGTTTGTAACTCTTGCCTCCTCTCTTCATGTCTTAATCCCTCTCACATGAGATGGGAGAAGAGGAGGAGACACCTCGAGAGACGAGTTGAGGCAAAAGACATTCAATGAAATTAGACATCATGACACTCCTACCTCGCACCCTAATGTCCAGGACACACATGGTGCCGTACGCTGCACGTGTGCTTATCATTACGGCTTATGCTTTTTATCTGGGCATCCGTCGAAACATGTCAGAGCACCCACAGTTTCAAAATGACACAGAAGAAAAGTCATGCCTATTTTCTTCTGTGAGACGCACATGGTTCTTTGCAAAAACATACCCGGCAACAACCTGTCAAAAGTCTTATCACCATGTTTCATTACAGATTTAATGTATTTATCTGCAAGTTTTAAATTATTTCTAGTTTAATGAGAGAAGCTGCTCCAGACTGCAACTACATTTTCATTATGATCATGGTCTTAACTAAATACGATAAGTTGTTGTGTTAAACACTGATATGAAAAACATAGCAATATGTCTACAGTCAGCTGTGGTAGCTTAAAAACATTATTTTCACACTACCTGAATTTCATTCACTTAAGAACTACCTGGTTGATTTATAATAAGAGGGAAATTCAATGCATTTAATTAATTTCTTGCAAGTAAGGCAAAAAATAAGTCTTCCTTAAAATGTGTTCTGTTAATTTTCCCTTGTATTATTTTCAACATTTGCAGTGTGTGCTGCACAACAAGCTGCATCGACATCTGCTGGTCCACCAGCCCCCCCTGGACCAGAGCAAGAGCCAGAGCGAGAGACGGAGCGAGAGCCAGAGCGAGAGACGGAGCGAGAGACAGAGACGGAGCGAGAGACAGAGCCAGAGCGAGAGCCAGAGCCAGAGCTTCCGGAGACATTTACTCTCCATCTTTTTTCTCTTCCTCCACCTCCTCCATGCTCCCAGCCTTCTCTCTCCCCATTGTCTTCTCCTCCACCTCCTCTATGCTCCCAGCCTTCTCTCTCCCCATTGTCTTCTCCTCCACCTCCTCCATGCTCCCAGCCTTCTCTTCCCCCCTTGTCTTCTCCTCCACCTCCTCCATGCTCCCAGCCTTCTCTCTCCCCCTTGTCTTCTCCTCCACCTCCTCCATGCTCCCAGCCTTCTCTCCCCCCCTTGTCTTCTCCTCCACCTCCTCCATGCTCCCAGCCTTCTCTCTCCCCATTGTCTTCTCCTCCACCTCCTCCATGCTCCCAGCCTTCTCTCTCCCCATTGTCTTCTCCTCCACCTCCTCCATGCTCCCAGCCTTCTCTCTCCTCCTTGTCTTCTCCTCCACCTCCTCCATGCTCCCAGCCTTCTCTCTCCTCCTTGTCTTCTCCTCCACCTCCTCCATGCTCCCAGCCTTCTCTCTCCTCCTTGTCTTCTCCTCCACCTCCTCCATGCTCCCAGCCTTCTCTCTCCTCCTTGTCTTCTCCTCCACCTCCTCCATGCTCCCAGCCTTCTCTCTCCTCCTTTTCTTCTCCTCCACCTCCTCCATGCTCCCAGCCTTCTCTCTCCTCCTTTTCTTCTCCTCCACCTCCTCCATGCTCCCAGCCTTCTCTCTCCTCCTTGTCTTCTCCTCCACCGCCTCCACCGTCAAAGAAAAGTCGAAAAGGTTCGATTTGCACTATACTATATACTATACAATACATTTCTTTAAATGATTGTTTGGAAGACTTATTACCTAATTATTAAAATGGTGTTATTTATTTTTAGAATGCAGGAAACACAGGACCCAGAAGGTGTTCCTCTATGAGAGCATTGTGGAAAGAAGAGTTTTTAATGTAAGTGTGTTATAATTTCTTCCTTTTTGTTTTTCTTGTTAAATAACATAAAAACGTACAGAACATTATTGGTACCGTCTACAGACCATCAGTGAGATATCTGCACAGAGCCCAAACGATACTAACATATAACGCCTCTGAATCCAGAGATACACAAGTATCCACTATCGTACAAGTATGGAGCGGTGAGGTTCCTCAATCCATCCTCGACACTGCACCTTTTGTTGTCATTGTAAGCATTACAGGACTATGTTTTGCATCACCTTATAACCTTGTGTTGTAGGAAACTCCCAGTCTTAAAGAAGCTGCTCCATACTGGTACGATAGTGGATTCTTCTGTATCTCTGGTTTCAGATGCTGTTGTCTGTTAGTATTGTTTATGTGTAGAAATCTAACCTTATTGATGGTCTATAAATGGTACAAATAATGTTCTGTAAAGTTGTATCACCTAACTTTGTAAAGTATCTCTCATTAATATTTCTGTCCATTTCATGTCATGCCTTTCAGCAAAGACAAGAAGTGAAAATTCGCTGGACACCATGCTCCGAGTGGTAAGTTTTTCCTTAATGACCATACATGTATGTGTTGTACTGGAAGCAAAGGGTTTATACACTGATACAGTAGGCTCATCTCAATTGAATACTTTTGTATTGTATGTTGTTATGTAATTTGTCCTACAGAAGAGAGACACAAATCACTAACATATGTATTAGTTATGCTACCCGTATTTGTATATATCCTAAATGTTTGACGTGCTGTGGGTCTACCACACATGCATCACAAACCACAAGTAAGAACTGTATGTTATTATTTTATAATCAAAAAATTATTATAGAATTTGTAAGTATATTTCACACACTTTAATGTTTTTATAGAGTTCGATCTCCTGATTCGTTTAAGAGATTTAATATATTTTACTCTTAATGAAGCACTTTAAACATTTAATGACTCTGATCCTCCTTTAACGGTAAGACCAGCTGCAGTGAGCAGAGGCTGTGCAGCTGGGGGCGGAGGTCTGATGCGCACACAGACACACACATACACATACACACAGACACACACACACACACACACACACACACACACACACACACACACACACACACACACACACACACACGCACACACACACACACAATACGTTTTTTCAATAAATTGTTTCAATAAATTGTTGTTTCTGTTGTGTATTTTTTGTACAATTATTTCTCAATAGGGTAAAGCCATTTAAAATGTTTTAGTTTTTGGTATGTTAATGCAAATGTGACAATCATTATTTTCGGGCTGCCTCAGTCTTAAAACACAAGATAGATATCAATTTGTGTTATGGTCTTCTGTATATGTCATGAATAATACTGGTACAATTAGAATTTGCCCCAAAACGTGGAAATGCAGACCAGATCTTCTAAATGCCAGCGACCGGAACATCAGGAGCATCTCTAAAAGACGATATGTGACAGTCCTGCAGCAACGGACCATATGAGAAACATTATGTTAAAACCTAGAAACTTATTCTAAACCTACTATCAAAGTATTCACCTGAAATTTAGCACAATTTGGCTCCTGTTAAAAGCACTATTTGAAAATGTAGATTTGTCAGGTCAACATGTGACTTATCTGGTTTGCTATAACAGTTTTACTCCCCAGTTGAACTGTATTTGACAATCATTAAATTCACAAACATAATTTGGGAAATAAATCAAAGACAATAGTGTAAATAAGAAAGGTTTAGTTTTTGAAACTTGTAATGGAGACGTTGATACATTAACTGTCAGCAGTATTTATTGTTACTTTGTAATTCTACTCCACCACAATTCAGAGGGTAACCTTAACCTATTTAGCACATCCCTTTCAAGATGTTCTAAGGTTTATTGACATCATATACACAACTACGGTGTAGTTATGCAATGAATGACAAACTTCGCAGGTTCGTCAACAGTGCATTACAAGAGATCTATCAATATGTTTATACCTCCACCATTAAACAGTCATATTCTGCACATTTCTTATACTATCTACATACATCTTATAAGAGTATAATTAATATGTAATGTCAGTTAAAATAAGTGCTTAAACGTAGTTAACATTGCAGGAAAGTTGATTGTCAAGTCCCAAAACAAATTATGCAATATATCAGGGTTGCCAACTCTCACGCATCTGGCGTGTGACACACGCGTTCACTCTCAATCTCACGCTCTCACGCTGCCCAACCTATTCTCACGCCAAAAACAAGATGAACCGGCGATCATTTTTGGTTGGTTATTTACAATGTTGAGTTGACAGCTGCTCAAGCTGTCAATCCGCTCCCTCCCGGCCCCCACCACTCTTAACAACGTTAACAGACAGCAGAGCAGTGGGAGCCGGTTGTTCAATCCCCGACCCGTATTGCGCATGCGCAGATCTAAGATCCAGTAGAAATGATAAAAAGTAAAAGTCTGCTGCTTATTGTTCTACTAGGCCAAAATAGAGTCAAAGAGTATATGAGAGTGAGAGTGTGTTAATTAATATATTTGGCAGTTTGGAGTAAGTCTGTAGATTTGTTTGTGTGTGTGTGTTTCATGTATAGGCCTCTCACGATAATTAATTTTGTTGGATACATTTTCCCGGAAATTATTGCGATAAACGATAGTATTGTCGGCACCGTTGTATGACCATTTTAGACCACTGACATAATGATAATATATAATAATAATTCAAGTACATCCTTTCAAACTGCTTGTCACATCCTCATGTAAATGGCAATTTATCGAGTTCATTTTTATTTATCGTACGATAAGTCAATTATTTGCTTATCGCGACAGGCACAATAAAACAGTGGAAACAAACATGTGTTTGACTTTCATTAGTGAATGAAACTTTGTGCCCTTTATAGTCTGTGTCCAATATTGTGTATTTGCATATATTGTATATATATCCAATATATATGCTAAGGTCCCGCTACTGACATGATAGCAGTCATTTAGTGCGCATATGTGTAATTAAACCCATGATATCAAAATCTCACTCCAGCCAGGTACCCAAAGTTGGCAACCCTGAATATTAGACTTTAAGTACTTTGTCAGGCTTAATATTTATCTGTAGATTTACCAAAGCTTTTTGCTTACATGTATTTAAAAGAAGACCTTAACTTAAAGTATTATTTAATGTTTTAATAAAGCCTGATTAGTTTGCCTGATTTGCACATCCTCCTATTAATATCTGTATACATCCGGCACTAAACTTTTATTGTAGAGATCACTTACAGTAGCCTATCTTGTTGATATTTTCTATTCTATATTTCTATTCTATATTTCTATCATTGACCTTCTACTTTCCCCCTATTTGTATGTACTCTTAATATTTAAATGTTTTCATCAAATGTAACCCATTCAACAAAACATGCAGCAGAGATTAGCAACACAACCTTACCGGCATTGCAATGACTGTAAATGTGTAATAACGTGCTTTAACCACTAGGTGAATAATACAGACGTATAAAGTACACATGGTATACAATGCTATCAAAAACACATTATGTTAATTTACATATCTAACTACCATTATCAAGCTAAATATGGACTATATGAGGCTAAGGCATTGTACCAGGTGTAGGCTAATTATGTAGGCTAAGTCAAAAACAGGCAACTGATGAGGTGTTTGAAAGGTAATTTATGAGGATCAAACAAATGAGGTACACAGATTACAATGCCATTTTATCTGTTTCATTATTAGTGTAGGACAGATATGTATATATAACACCTGAAGATGTTTTATTCATGTTAGTCATTACTTTTAATACTAGTTGAACATTATATTTTTACATTTGTATGTTTAAAAAAATATATGTTTCTAGTTATTGTGCTTTTTATCATGTTTTATTATTGTACTCCCATTGTGTTATTTAATATTGTAGTTATTGCCTGTACAGCACTTTGGTCAACTGAAGGTTGTTTTAAATGTGATATATACAGGATATAGCTATATTATTGCACATATTTTAAAACATCAGACAAAAAGGTTTATCCGCCCCCTCATGGTGCTAATCAGAATGTGTGTTTGCTAAACAGAGATACAAACAGAACATGAGTGAACAGTCAAAACAATTTTTATCAACTTTATTGTTATGGGACCTTGTTTACATAGTGTTTCAGAGTAGACATGTAATAACATCTGAATAAAATGAAATGATAAAAAATGCCTTCAACAGCATATCAACAACCTGAAGAATAACTTACTGGACATACATATTAAGACATTAAGAAATGTGTCATTTTTTTTTGTCGGAGGACCGCAGCTGACGAGAGGGGGTGTAGGGCTGAAGGAGGTCAGAGATGTATGCAGGGGCTAGGGAGTGGAGAGATGTGTAGGTTAGCAGGAGGAGTTTGTACTGGATGCGTGACTTGACCGGGAGCCAGTGAAGGTGGAGGAGGATGGGGGTGATGTGTTGCCAGGGCTTAGTGCGGGTGAGGAGCCTGGCTGCAGAGTTCTGGACGTACTGGAGCCTGTCCAGGGCTTTGCAGGTGACCCCGAACAGAACTCCATTGCAGTAGTCCAGGCGTGAGGAGATGAAGGTATGTATTAATGTTTCTGCAACGGGGTCGGGGAGAGAGGGCCGGAGTCTGGAGATGTTTCGAAGGTGAAAAAAAGCAGTTTTGACAGTAGACCTGATGTGGGAGTTGAAGGTGAGGCTAGAGTCCAGAGTGACGCCCAGGCTGGATGGAGCAGCCATCGACGGTGAGGAGCAGATCTCCAACCTTCCGGAGCAGTGTTTTTGGGGCCACAACCATGAGCTCTGTTTTGTTTTTGTTGAGTTTCAGTAGGTTTGTTGACATCCAGGTTTGGATGTTGCGGAGGCAGTTGACTAGTGACAGCTGGGATGATGGATTGGTACTGATGTAGAGTTGGGTGTCGTCGGCATAGGAGTGGAAGTTGAGACCATGTTGGCGGAGTATTTCACAGAGGGGGAGCATGTAGATGTTAAATAGAAGGTAGTCTGGAGGGGGCTTCACCGTGTGTCATCAGAGCTGTCAGAGTCGCAGTCAGAAGACTCATCTGAAAGACTTTGCAAGAAGCTGATGGTCTCTGCTCCAGTCAAAAGCTGCAGATAGCATCGTCTAGCATGAGTCTTCATTTCTCCGATGTCGTGCTGCTTTTTCCTAAACATGCTCTGAAGACCTTTCATCCCGTCTTCGCTCAGGCCCAATGGTGAATCTTAAATGTATAAGATAAAGACAATATTAGTTACTTCATCACCTATCACTGATGTGTAAAGTCATGCAAAGTAAAAATGTAATATATACTGTACTTTGCAGGCAGGACATCTCTTTCAGGGAATCACTGCGGGTTGAAAGGACCTTCCAGTGTTGGTTCATTTCTGTGACGAGAATCTTCTTCTCCTCCTGTAGTCTCTTCACTGCCATGACAAGGTCGAATGCTCTTCTCTTTGTCCTGAGGTCGAAAGAGTCTGCAAAGCATTTATGAGAAAACATGAATTAATGTGTATGAAAGATCAACATTCAAAGAATCTATGAAGTCTTAAATAGATTTATATATCAGACATGAAGGTTTTCCACATTTGCTGTGAGCATTCAGCAGACTGGTGTACTTACCACTGTTTGGTAGCTGCCATGGCCAAGCTTTCTCCACAGACAGAATGGCTTCGAGGCACAGCGCTTCTGTGCTTGGAACCATTGAGTTGTATTTCTCAACTGTGGCTGTCAGGACCCCTTTCTCATCCCTGATCTTGCGGCGGATCCGGGAACGACCTTTGTTGCTGTCTGTGTCTTTGTAGAGACGCTGCGAACGTCTCTTGACACTTACTGTCAGCATTTCGATCTTGCTGGCCAAGGCAGCAGCATCCCTTGGGTTGTTTGTTGTTGCTTTTTAGAGGAAATAGGTGTATTAAGCACAGTAATTCACAATAACAGTGACATTTGATCAAATGTTTTAATATTATTTTATTACATATGCTTCATGAAAAATAAGTAATGCAAATGTCAATAGAGGGTTATCACTAATTCTGAAAATTTTAAATAAATTGATAAATCATGACTACAAAAAAGTTGAAAAACGTCATTAAGATTGTTCTCACTTTCTGCCCACTCATTCACATCTCTGACCCAGTCTTCCAGCTGCTTTTCAGTCACTGCCAACTCAGCCTTCATGGACTCCAGGTTCTGCAATTGCTTTTCCAGAGCTTTTGTGGTCTACAAACGTCAAACAATTAAAGACAAGTAAATACAGAAATCTACATTTAGGCTGCAGCCACAAATAATTCTTCTAAAACTATGTTATTACCTTCAGATATCTGCGGGACAGTGAGGTGGCCAAGTTGCTGACTTTTTGCTGATTCCAGCGCATGGCCATCAGCGTCAGCATGTCTGTACGTCCTGCAAAAGAGAATATCACATTATTACTATTCCTCTTACTTCTTATACTGTAACTGGGGTTTATACTATATTGCCATCCTAAATGGTGTTCTATGGTCATAACCGTCAATGAGCTTTTATGAGTTTCTGTTGTTGGTGTAATTTGTTAGTGTAATCTGTGCCTTTCTGAACATTTTTTGAAAACTGACAGTAAAGGTTCTATCGTAACTCACCTGCTTTTGACATGTGTTTTGTGGTCACTGCTATCCGTGAGAGGAAGGCATTGACCTGTTCCACCTCCTCCCCTAGGGTTAGTCCAGCCCCCTCTTGATATGCCCCACTCCATTTCACCTGTTTAAAATATATTCAAAAGTACGACTCGTTACAACTTGTCACTATTCACAAGGAGGTTTTTACATAAAGTGATTGTGTCACATGGTAACAATTCCTTACTTCACATTTGAAGTCATGCGCTTTGGCATGAAACACTGAGAGAAAGGGCTTCATGTTGAGAAGATGCTGGAGCTCTGGACAGCTTTTTGTGATTCTCTGGAGGTAGGGCCAATATTTGCAGGTCACATCCATGCAAAAGAACATACTACTGGCCAGCTTTTTCTGTAGGTACAGGGGATAAGCAAAGATTTCTCCCCTGTACATATTGAGAGCACAGAGGAGCACTCCATGTCGACAGACGGCAAGCTCTAATCCCTCCTCATCCAGCTTGCCGGCTGATTTTTGGGAGGTCTCTCTGGCTGCCGACCACTGTCCTCCACAAACACCTCTTCCGGAGACCTAATATATAAAAATGTATTGATGAAAATGGTGCAAAGACTAACCTAACCAAACCCTTCATTAGGATATTATATTATACATAATTAGAGTCTGCAATATTACATGTTTGGTTGTGGTGTGTATATAGTCCACAAATCTTGAGACGTCTTCATCCCTGGCTATAAAGACACCGTCAAAGATGGCCTGTTCCTCAGATCTAAATAAATCAAAGGAGCAATGTATGACATCTCAGATTATTGATTGATTGATTGGTTCACATCAAGATACTTTTGTTTCGTTATTTGTTCAAATACTGTGACATTATATATTTTCTATAGTACCTAGCTGCATTCTTGAAACGGTAATGCTTGCGGTTTCCATCCACGGAAACTGCAAGCATATCAGGGCTACACGCAGGACAGGTGAAGGGCTCCTCCTTGCACATGATGTCGACCTCATAACGCACAGCCTCCCACTCAAAGAAACTTTTGATGAAGCTGTCAGTTGAGATCTTCCCAGTCTATAACAAAATAAGGACATCAACAGATAATTATGTCAAAAATAAATTATAAATTATAAGGACACAGCTTACAATTTGTACAATACAAATAGATCAAAAAGGACAAGTAACTTCAATACTCACACGGCCGAAGCGCAACGTTCGCTGATCGAGCATCCTTAAATATGCCTGAAAGGATAGTCCAGGTGCAGCCATTTTCATTTCTTCAAATGAGAAGAAAACATCTGTGGCATAAATGGTGGTGAAGTGAAGGGTAGCTGGCCAGTAGTCACTCCGAAGAAAGTCGTCAACCCCAGTCGTCCATGTCGCAGCGCATGCTTCACAAGCCAACTCTGGCATGCTTAGCTCATATCGTCCTTGAAAAACAGACAAGGTGTTTTTAATACATTTGGTATTCTTTACTCAATACCCATGTTAAGGTTTAATAGACAAGCTATCCCACATGTCTTTGAGAAGGGTTGGATATTATCAAGAAGAAACTTCAATAACATCTATCTTAAGAAACAAGACAAACATTCTTCCCATTCTTACCATTCATTGTGATCACAGTCACAGTCTTTCCTGGCTTGAGGCTCAATGACTCTGATGCACAACCACAGATTTGGTCCGGGATCTCCACAGGTACAAACCGCACTGGAAAAAAATTCAAATGGGAATTAAAAATAATTTGTCTCTTTTGAAAAATACTACATTGTTATGTGACATATTTAGGATTTAACTTTACATCAGAACATTAAAAAGAGACTTAAGCACACTGCTGGGAATTAACACAGAGATGTTGAGGAAGCTCACATTTTCAAAATGAAATTCTCAACAAGTCCAGCAAGAAAATGTACATTCACAAACCAGAACTTACCACAGGAGCAAAGGGCCATATTTAGTACATGTGTTGTTGGGGCCAATGGCTGGAAGTAACCTGCAGTAGTAGCATCTCTGTTGTGGAGGGGGTGTCTGGTGTGCATGCTGACATCACAGTCAGCACAGAAGAAGGGATGTGGTCGGCAATCCCGGCACCGGACAACAGACGTTTTGCTCCAACACTGTTGGCAAATGTGTGTTCCCACATTTGCTTGGGCCACTACGGTGTTAACCAGATGTGGTCTCGCTGCCCTCCAGCTCTCTGAAAAAAAACTTTTTCGAGTGCTCCAGTTGGTCGATGCCAGCAGAGAAGCACTTGGGGTTTGTGCTACCACCTCATCTCCTGTAGTATCGCTCAGAGACTGCTGGAGATCTCGTAGAAACCCCTCTGTTAAAATGGTACAATAAAGTCCAAAGCACAATGATTAGTTTTCTTTAAAACATACTGGATGGAGTGGTTTTGAAAGCTGTAACTACTGTGTTCTTAATTCTAGCAAATTATGAAGTTTAGAAATGAAGTACGTATCACATAAAGATACAAGTATGAATATGTGTTTCGGGCTAACCAGACCAAATGAAGTACATACCAACAGTCTCTGGAGCGATAGCTGGAGCAAAGACCAGATCACAGTCAGGGTCAGGAGCATCAACGGGGGGATCAGTGTTACGACTGCAGCCAGCTGTATCAGAAAAAACATTTATTTTATACCATTAAATTGTACTACTTTTCCCTTACCAAGAGTTATGTTTTCATTCATTTCATATACTCAAGTGCCTAGAAATATATATCTTATACTGACCCTGATTTGAGACATTCCGGGTTGAACGTGGTCTTGCAAAGATCAAGTTTCCCTCACTGTCTCTCTTCTTCCAGCACATCATTGACACTGCTGCTGCTGCTGCTGCTGCTGCTGCTGCTGCTGCTGCTGCTGCTGCTGCTGTTGCTGCTTCCACTTTACAAAGCAAATCATCATCACTCCGTAGGTCATCCCTTAACTCTTTCTGCTCAACCAGCTCATCTGCGCTTCTCAGGAGATCCTCAAGATCAGAATCACTCATTATAGTGAAGAGACACAGACAGAGACACAGAAGAAAGACTGACAACAGAGTTAGACAGAGAAATAAATAGAGAGATAGGAAGAGACTATCAAGTACAACACAGCAAGGACAGTTTAACAAGACAGACTTGGCTCTTAAAAGTGCCTTTGGGTTGTTTGGAGTTTGGAAAAACAAAGGGTTGTTTTTTGGAGAACAAATTGCAGGATCTGTTGAGAGAAAACAACATAATTTAGAAACTCAAAAATAAACAAACAATGCCAGTGTAATTGTTGTTGTTTACAATTTTCTACTTGGCTAATAACCAATTAATGCTTACTACTGTTGTCATTAAAGGTATTTTCACACCATCGCACAGCAAAATCACTGCCACCAGTCATTTAAATAAGTAATTTGTACAAAAATTATAAAAGTATTATTACTATTAATACTAAAAACACATGTATACAAAGTATTATTAATAGATTTACGATTCGAAAATTATAAAAGCAGAGTAGACATGTGGAGATTATCCGGCTGAACAAAACGTGATCCGTCTCTTAAATGTGTGTCAACCACAGACCTTATTTCGAGCTATTTTCCAAAATCCTATGGAGAAATTGCATTGCGTGTTCTAGCTAGCTAGCTAGCAAGCTAGCTCAGGCGAGTTCATTTGTTATATATATTCGTGGCTAAGTTTATTTCCTATAACTATGTGTTACCCATGCTCTTACCTTGATTCTGAAGAACTGCGACTCTCTCATCCAGGTTTGGTCACGTAAAGTGCAAAGGTATGCCGTCTTTACGACGGTACCTGAGGATTGTGGGTAATGTAATCGCAAAGCGGACAGAAGTCGTCACAACAATAGCTGGGGATTGTGGGTAGTGTAGTCTCTTTGGCGCTCCACATTTCAGAGAAAACAAGTTGTCTCAGAATTGAAGGGAAAAAACACAAAAGCATTGCACACAATTTAAACCTATCAATGTCGTTTAATTAACAAAGGTAATCTGGTGTTTTTGAGTGGATGAGTAATGGAGATATCACTGTCAAATCAATCGACAGTAAGGAGAATACTTACTTCCGGGTGTACAATTCTCCGTTATCCAATGGGAATGGACGCTCACATTGCCTTTAACAGCTGCCGACACAAACGAATGCCGTGCTTCCCTAAGCGTCAAATACCGCCGCCGATGGGAATACATTGCAATCAGTTGAAAGCTCTTTGCATCCGTTTATGACGCTGATGGAGACTCGGCGCGTCACAACTGGACACCACGGAATTCTGACCAAGCGTCGCTCCTGGACGCGTTGGGAGTGAGAGTGTGTTGGAAAAACAGGCTCAGGGCTTAACAGGTTAAAACAAACCATTCACTTTCTTATCAAATATCCAGTAAGCAGTTCTTTATTATACAGTTTTTGCACCCACCATAACTCGCCTCATGTGCCCTCACACACACACACACACACACACACACACACACACTAACACACACACACACACACACATGCACACAAAGTCTATGAGCACCACCACTGTGAAATATTTAACGTATCTTCTGTATTTTAGCTGCCCCTTACTGGATTGGCATTGTCTGTTTTACCCTGTGTTGCAAAAATGCAAAAGGCAGATGTCCATTTAATGAAATATAATTGACAATAAGGTTTTTTAATCTAATCTAATCTTAAATACTGCAGCAAGTGGTCGCCGCCTAACAATTTAAAACCTCCCTGCGGAAATCCAGCTTAGAAATAGACGGCTGGCTTATGCTGTAGACTTCATCACCTTGTAACAAAAAAGTAAGTATTTAAAACGTTATTATGGATACTTTACACATCAACAAAAAAACAAACATATTTTGATTTGAAAAATAAGCTAAATACAACACACACACACACACACACACACACACACACACACAATTACACATTAATTACATAACAGTTGTGTAAATTCATGTTCCTAAAATCCCCCTTTGTTCTGTAAAGTCAAACATTATTTTAGAGGCCTACTTTCTAAAAGCTTCTAAAACCTAGTGAGGGGGGGCTTGTGCAACTGTGCTAGGCTAACATTACTATGTTACAACCCTAATAGTGCTGTTACAACATAAATACAACAGATGAGCAGAGGTTGTTTAACACACACACACACCAAACAACATTAAATAATTACATGATATTATAAAATAAAAGTATTTACCAGAGTTTTTCCAGATCAGATCCAAATCAAGCCTCATTGTCTCCAGTGGTCACTTGTCTCTTTCTGGTGAATACTTAATCTCCTTATAAACCTGAATAGCACTAGCCAGGTCTATGGCTCAAGAACTGGGAACCAATCGGTGTAGTCCTGCTAGTTTAACAAATTAGCATGTTTGTATGGCAGAGAAAATACTTTAAAAAACGTATTTTTTTATATATATTATTATATATTCAGTAGACGAAGCCTTGTATATTTAGAAATGAATAATTTCATTTCACCCACACTCTTAACCTGTTAAGCACCTAGCCTGTTTTTCATGTTTCAGGCTCGAAAATGACATGCCCAAAACAAATGACTACAACTTAACTTCTAAAAGGGTTATATGAATAATTTATTTTATCAAAGCAAGGTTACATCTGTGAGTTGGATGTAGAAGTGTCAGAATCAATATAGATGTTTTTTATTTTAAAGAAAATTCAGATTTTACTGTAAATTATAGTGTCAGTCCAAAAATTCTTTTTTACTTATAGTGAAAACTACCCTTGGATGATGGGTTAGTAGACTAAAAGCTTTAGGAATCCAAAGTACAAAATATAATAAGTACCCTGTATCAAGATTGATGCAAAACAAGTGACATTTGACCTTTTTAGAGAGGTTTAGCCAAACCCACTCACTGAGGTGACACAGAATCGAAGGGTACCCTCATGATCACTCAATTATACGAAATCGCGACGTTATAAACAAAAACAGACATAAAAACATGTGGCGCTAGGAAGCTAAAAATGCTAACATGGTTACCTTGTCTCTGTAGTCTGCTCCAAAGTGGTCTTCAATGGCATTAAAACGATAAAAACGCTGATGAAGTTAATCCATAGGTTAATCCAATGTGTCTGTTTCCCTTTGAAATGATCTCTGATAATCCATGAGCAATAAGACTGCTTTTCCGTTTCTAGATGTGAGAGCGAGAGATAGCTTCACTCTCATGCAAAACTACATGCGCAAAGCCCCCACCTTTTTGTTTTACAACGTGTGTGTGTGGGGGAATCCCCCTTCGATTCTATTGGCTCTAACGGTCAGAAAGAGGTGTCAACCATCAAAATCGACAAAGGGGGGCCAGAGATATGGGAAAAAAAACATTTCCACCCAAATCACATCAGAGGTGGAGTTTTTTTGGCTAAACCTCTCTAAAAAGGTCAAATGTCACTTGTTTTGCATCAATCTTGATACAGGATACTTATTATATGTTGTACTTTGGATTCTTAAAGCTTTTAGTCTACTTTACCATCATCCAAGGGTAGTTTTCACTATAAGTAAAAAAGAATTTTTGGACGGACAGAATTTACAGTTTTTTACTATGTAAAATCTGAATTTTCTTTAAAATAAAAAACATCTATATTGTTCTGACTTTTCTACATCCAACTCACAGGTTTATCATTACTTTGAGAAAAAAGATTATTAATTTAACCCTTTTAGAAGGGAAGATATGGTCATTTGTTCTGGGAATGTCATTTTCGAGCCTGAGACCTGAAAAACAGGCTCAGGGCTTAACAGGTTAACACTGTAAACTTGACAGCTTTTTAACCCGCACCTCCTACTGGTTAAAGCACGTTATTACACGTTTAGAGTAATTGCAATGCAGGTAGATTGTGTTGCTTTTTAATGACTGTTTAAAATGCCTTTTTGTAAAGCACTTTTGAATGTGTTATATTTTATGAAAACATTTAAATATTAAGAGTATATACAAAATAGGAGGAAAGTAGAAGGTCAATGATAGAAATATAGAATAGAAAATATCAAGAAGATACTGTAAATGGTATCTAGAATAAAAACAGTTTAGTGCCAGATGTACAAAGATATTAATAGGAGGATGTGCAAAACAGACAAACTAATTTATTCAAACATTAAATAATACTTTAGGTTAAGGTCTTCTTTTAAATACATGTAAGCAAAAAGCTTTGGGGGTATCTATATTAAGCCTGACAAAGTACTTAACGTCTAATATATTGCATGGTTTGTTTTGGGACTTGAAAATCAACTTTCCTGCAATGTTAACTATGTTGAAGCACTTATTTTAACCGATATTATACATATTTATTATACTCTTATAAGATGTATGTAGATAGAATAAGAAATGTGCAGAATATGCCAGTTTAATGGTGGAGGTACACACATATTGATAGATCTCTTGTTGAGGAACCTATGACCCAAGTTTGTCATCATTGCATAACTACACTGTAGTTGTGTATATGATATTTCAATAAACCTTTGAAAATGTGCAAAATAGCCATTATATACAGTTTTTGATGAACAATTAGAGAATAACGAGTAATGGATATGCTTTATAGAGATCTGCAGATACATCTTTTGTCTTCTCAAGCACCAACTATCAAATATCTCGCCTGATTGTTTGCACTTGACAATCACCTTCACTGAATTTTACTCAGGTGTAACTAAAGTCTGATTTAAGGGTTGTTTATATTTCACATCATTAATCCAAATCTGTAAAGTAACTAAAATAAATGTAGTAAAAATACCAGGTTAACCTTAAAGAAAGCCCTCAGGATTATAAAAGACCCCCATCACCCCAGCCACAAACTGTTCTGTCTGCTGCCGTCTGGCAGGCGGTACTGCAGCATCCGGACTAAAACCACTAGACTCAGGGACAGCTTCATCCCACAGGCCAGAAGACTATTAAACACCTGAACTTTGAAACAACATCCATAACATTCATCTGGCTGCTACTTAGAAATTATTTGTCTAATATATCATATTCCAATCACTTGTATATAGACTCTTATCGCACTATTTAACTTCTTACTATTTCACTATTTTTCTTTTTGTATTTACTTGCACTATTTTTTCTGTGTATCTGTTTTATTGTGTTGCACTGTTGGAGGAGCCTGTGACCTAAGGGGGGGTAGTAGGACACGTTCGAGTCTTGATTTGGATAGTGTGTGTGGGGAGGCGTGTGGCGCAGTGGATAGAGCCTTGGTGTTGGGATCAGGGGGTCACAGGTTCAAAGCCCACTGCATTCAGCATGTCATTGTGTCCCTGAGACACTTCACCCCAAATTGCTCCTGTGGGGATTGCCCACAGTATTGAGTATGTAAGTCGCTTTGGATCAAAGCGTCTAACAAGTAACATGTAATGTAATGTGTGCCGTCGATGGGTTTCATTCATAGACTGTATATATAAAGGTTTCATTCCATTTCAAAGTGCTGTTTGACGCGGTGTAAACTTTGCGCACTGCCACTCCAACATCCAATCACAGAGCTTGAGAACTAATCACGGGGTTTGTCAAACAAAGCACATGGTGTAGTCCCAAACGATAGCTGGGGATTCTGGGTAGTGTAGTGTCTTCTGCAATCCTAAACTCCGAAAAAATATTTGTTTCTCCGAATCGAAGGGGAAAAACACAAAAGCATTGCACACAATTTAAACCAATCAATGTTGTGTAATTAACAAGGATAATCTGGTGTTTTTGAGTTGATGAGTAGTGCAGATATCACTGTAAAGTTAGTAAGGGGAATACTTACTTCCGGGTGTAAAATCCTCCGTTATCCAATGGGAATGGACGCTCACATTGCCTTTAAATGCCGCCGACATGGACCGATGCGGTGCTTCCCTGAGCGTCAAATACCGCCGCTGATGGGAATAAATTGCAATCAGTTGAAAGCTCTTTGCGTCCGTTTATGAAGCTGAAGGAGCCTCGGCGCGTCCCAACTGCACGCCACGGGACCCTGACCAAGCGTCGCTCCTGGACGCTTAGGGAGTGAGAGTGTGTTGCTTGGTATTACCCTTGTGTTTCGTTTTGCTAAAAATTGTTAATATTGTCTGATAGCTGAGTTTATTCCCGTTAAGTGGTATGACACATTCATAGTTTGTTAAATGTTAAGAAGCCCTCAGACGCTGTTTCTTGCAAGATGTTGCGTTTTGGGCATGGGGCTTAACTGCAGAGAGCATAGATCATTATCATCTGCATCATAAAGGTTTACAGTTTTTTCCTCAGAGACTAAAAAAGAGGCAAGGGGCCATCTCTTACTGCATTCTAATGCGTGTGTGTGTGTGTGTGTGTGTGTGTGTGTGTGTGTGTGTGTGTGTGTGTGTGTGTGTGTGTGTGTGTGTGTGTGTGTGTGTGTGTGTTGTGTGTGTGTGTGTGTGTGTGTGTGTGTGTGTGTGTGTGTGTGTGTGTGTGTGTGTGTGTGTGTGTGTGTGTGTGTGTGTGTGTGGTTTCACAGATTGATTACCTTTGTTACATGTTATTGTTGTGCAATGTTCAAAGACGTATAATTCTTAATTAGATGCAAATTTGAGGTTATTAACTGGATAAATTAACTATATTAATAGCTAAAATCTTTATTTTCTCAAGTGGACGGAAGTATTAGTTTATATCTTTGAAACAACAAGATCCACTATAATAATCTTGTGAGATCTAACACTTGTGAGATCACTGCAGGATATTAGAGTCTCCTCAGGTTAAAAAAAGAAGTTACTGCAGACAATCAGAGTTTGATGCATTGTTATTCTAAAAAAAACAGAATTGAACTGAAGACAGTGAGTCTGTTTCCTCACTTTATAGAAAGAGTTCCACCCCACATTGATATTTTAATGTTTTGACAGTGAAAAGGAATCTAACTTCGATACAACAAACAAATGTTAATACCTAGGCCGTCTCCGATACCGAACTCCGGTGCTGATAAGGCTCCGGTGAACGGCCGTCCAATCTTTTTATGACTTCAAAACCCCCCAGAATCTACATGCAAGATCAACGTAATCTGCTTAGGGGGGAGTTTACAACGTGGCCTCTAACACCGTCGTATCCCTATTTCTGGCACTCCAGCCACGGATGTCCGACCGCTAGGATAGCAAAATGGTGTGTATGGTGTAGTAGGTGTTGGTGGGCTGGTAGAACCCCCAGAGCAGTATCAAAACTGCCCCTGGAGGAGAATCCCTCTGTTAATGGGAGACTCCCTGGTAATTAGGGCAGCTTCAGAACCCACAGTCCCTAACCCCACCCTCTCTTGATCCCCAAATATATCAATCAAAACAATGCAAATGTAATATCAAACACAGCCAAAGTCAAACATCAATGTCACAGCAGTGACATCACCAGCCAGAGTCAAATATTCAATATCACAGCAGTGATATTACCACATCAGCAGAGCATATGTCAACCACATCAACCACAGTAACCAATGTGAAACTATAGTTTAACCTTAGCAGAGTTTCTATTCCCCTTAAACAATTTAAATCCAAATTATCAACTAATGTCAGCCTTTTCCAAGGAAGGGTATTCTTACCTCACTCTAAGACCAAGCAGATACCTTCAGATACCACGAGAGAGAGACCAGGAGTTTGGGTCGAAGTGTACAAAGTACAAACCGGATTTATTAAGGTTTTAACAAAAATTGAGGATTAAAAAGAATCCTTAAAAAATAATAAAGACGACAAGTCCAAATACAATAGCAATAGGTTCACAAGTCAAATGTCCTCAAGCCGTCCTGTTCCTTCTTCTCCCTCCTTCTTTATAGTATTCTTCCTCCTCCCTCTCTGCGTCAGGCCGTCTCCCCAAATAAGGACAGCTTGTCTCTGTGCAGGAATCTTTCCATTGTGCACCGGTGTTGGTGGTGGTGTGACGGGGTTTAGACAGAATAGTGGATTTCTTACTCTCTGTGTTGCGCTAACAAGAGCAACCTGTTGAAACTTGTTATTACATAGTTCTTCTGAAGTTTAGGCTATGAAATCTCTTTAAAAAAAAACTCTGCTTCACATTGGGCCTCACAGAGGGCACCAGATATATGTATTGATAATTAATAACCCTCAATTATTTATCAGTAACAGATTAATTGGTATGGTAAAGGAACGTGTTAATATCATATAATACATTTAGAAAACACATTGGGAATCGATGAAGGGTACATGAGTTCATAGGACCAGCTCTTCTTTTCCATGACTGTGTTTTTATTTGATCTCTTTGTGAATCACTTTATTCTAAATGTGCTGTCTTTGAATGTGCTACATAAATAAACATATACGTAACGATTCTCTGGCCCAGGAAGTTGATTAAAATCTGTGCACAGGCCGCCTGCATCCTGTGCCTCATTGTCTTCATACCCGCTGTAACCGCTCTCAAGGTGGTAGCTGGAACTTTTACGCTTTTATTGCACCATCTAGAATGTGTGTGTGTATAGGTCAAAAGTTCAGAATGTTCTATCTAGTTTCATGTCTGTAACAACAAAGAAGGAAACATACATCCTTTCCATTCACAGCCAATGTAGCCTCTTTTTATCAATGGTAAGCTTAATAGAGGTAGGTGAGGCAAAGGTCAGGTCTGACACGGCCACTTTCACAGCAGAACTGTCAACAACAGCTTGTGCCAAAGCATCTGTGCCTACAGTTCTCCTCCACAGGTCCTGCGTTGCCCTCCTTATTGCACACAAACAACATCAGGACTCTTTAGGGTCACATGACCACAAAGACCATCACATTGTCGACCTGCAGACAGCAGCTTCAGCCAAGTCCAGACCGTGCTGACGGAAGAACTTCCTTGTAACAGTTTCTGACATTTTGTGCAGGAATCTTTCCATTGTGCACCGGTGTTGGTGGGTGGTCTCAGACAATCTTTTTCTCATTTTAAATGTGTGATGGGTTTTCAACGGAATAGTGGATTTCTTACTCTCTGTGTTGCGCTAACAAGAGCAACCTGTTGAAACTTGTTATTACATAGTTCTTCTGAAGTTTAGGCTATGAAATCTCTTTAAAAAAAAACTCTGCTTCACATTGGGCCTCACAGAGGGCACCAGATATATGTATTGATAATTAATAACCCTCAATTATTTATCAGTAACAGATGAATTGGTATGGTAAAGGAACGTGTTAATATCATATAATACATTTAGAAAACACATTGGGAATCGATGAAGGGTACATGAGTTCATAGGACCAGGTCTTCTTTTCCATGACTGTGTTTTTATTTGATCTCTTTGTGAATCACTTTATTCTAAATGTGCTGTCTTTGAATGTGCTACATAAATAAACATATACGTAACGTAGGAAAGACAAAAGTAAACGAATAAATAAAAGATTGTAATAAAGAAAAAATAAAATATTTTATTAGAAGTCTTTAGAAAAATTAACAAATATAGGACAGTCCAACTCTCATTACCTTACAGAATAATTCAAATGTCATAGAAATTACCAAACTAATTGTTTTCAAATGTTGCTTATCATTTGACGAACAGAATGTGATTTTCTCAATCAAAACAAGAAAAAAAAATATTCTGTGGATCATTGCTGTCAGCATCTCGTTTCACACAATTCCATGTAGAAATGTTACATAGTATATCATTATATGTATATATAAGTGTGAAAATTGACTCTCAGACCTGCAGAGGACACAGAGACACCGAAGAGAAATCAACACAAAACGAGAACCCTGACCCAAACCCAGCATAGAGAGGTTCAGTGAATGTGGTTCTGAAGGTGTGCAGGTGGACCAGTGTTTCAGAGGAGACTCTGTAGAAGGAGAGAGAGCCAGCAGGAAGATCCAGATACACTGCTACTCTACCAGAGGGTTAGCAAAACCCTTCAGAGACATGTTTTTCATATCTGAGACCTATAATATATGCTTAAAAATAGTACAATAGGAGACCTTTAAGTGCAGTTCCAAACCAACGAGTGTGGAGGGGGAGTGTTTTATCAAGAGAGTCTGCATCACCTGACTTCATCTGCTGCTCCACCTGACCGACCAACGTGTGTGTGTCCGTCAGGAAACACGCTGCTTACAAACAGTTCCAACATTTACTGATAAACTGAACAACAAGATAGATGTTTAATATCTTCATACAGATGTTAACAACTTCCTGTTCCCTCGTATTGTTTTTAACTCAGGATCATACCCATGTGTAGTCTAGAAAACGGTAAATGTGTGCATTATATTATAAAGTTGTGTATATTTACAGACTGTTAAACATAATAAACACAATTTAAAGTGGACCTATCATGCTATATTTGAATAATATAGTGTAGGGCCATACCTATATAAGGCATATTTATACTTTTTTTTTCTCAAAATACCAAACAGATCATGCATTTTAGCCATGCCTCATTTTGCTCAATTTGACATGTTTTAGCTCTGTTTGTGCAAGGGCTGATTCAGTGAGAACAGCACCATCTACTGGCCTGGCATATGTACTACAGCGTCTCCAGCGCTTTCGAACGGCAATGGCCGTGGCTGTCTCCTCCTGATTGGTGGAGTTGGCCCAATAGCCGTAGCGCCACCGTCCTGACGTCAGGACAGTGTTCAAATCTGGATCAGTTTTTATCAGATCCGTTGCAGCCCCTTTTTTAGAGATTTGGGTATGGAGGAAAATAGAGAGGGTTGTGTTTTCTGACACTTGGTGAGTTCCCTGGAACACCGGGGACACATATTCATGTATAAAAGATGTACAAAAGTGCATTTTGCATGATAGGTCCCCTTTAAGATTTTTGGAGTTTTTTTTTTTTTTTTTGTATCCAAATGTTTTATCCAAGAGATGCTGATTTGAAACCATTGTTACGAAGGGTTACGGCATTTCCTGTTGCTGCCAGAGAGAGGGGAGTTTGCTCCAAAGCTGCTGCTGTATTTACACCCTCCGTCTGAAAGGAAGGGGCCTCGTTCAGCTCTGAGTGTGACTTCAGACGGAGGGGGAGTGGGTGTGGTTTGGAATTGGGCCTCCATTTACTTCATCACTGATACAAAGGGTGAGTTTATACATTTAAGGGTTAATAATCTGTCATGTGAAACCCAATCTAATAACTGATGTGGAACTAAAGGTGGATTGAACAGCAGTGAAGGGGTTAGTATGGAGGACAGAACATGGCATAAGTATAAACTGATAGAAACATAAATGTATAAATATATGTATTAATAAATACATTAAAAGGATAAATAAATGTGGAAATAAAATACAGAAGAAATGTGTATTTTAACACATTTAACGTGACACACAACTGTCCAACAGGGGACTCATTTATTATTTTAAAACCACCATAATAATGTTAAATGTTCAAAATAAGTGTTGAACTATAACCGAAAGGAGAGCATCCAAGTGTTGTTGTTAGCACTTCACTGTGGTGTTATGAGCCACGTTCACACCGGAGTACTTTTCACCGTACTTTTCGCGTTTAGTTCCGTTAGTACCCCTTATGTCGCGTTCACACCAAAAAGAGTACTTAATCTCGGGAACTTTCACCCCCATTTTTAGTGCCTGCTGAGAGATGGTACTTTCCTTGGGGAAAAAAGTGCCCCAGTTCTGATTGGCTTGGCGAATTGCAAACCGCGCCCCGTAAAACTCTGAAATGTTTTGTAGAGCCGCCATTTTATTTGCTCGCTACAAAAACCCAGTGCACCAACGGAGAGTAGTTTGTTTTGAAAGCAGTTATGGCAAGCATCAATAAATAATCGAAGCGGTGGAGTGATGAGGAGGTGTCGGTGTGGTAACGACCGGAAGACCAGTAAATGGTATGAGCGCTTGGATGCTCTGCTAGGCCACAGACCTTTTCTCCGGGACAGCATCGACCTTCGATTCGGGCACGATGGTGTGGGAGGCCGCTCAAACGGCGGATTCAATGGGCGACCACGACGAAGGTAAAATCAACTACATGCACTGGGGTTTTAACCTGTTACGCACAATCCGCCCGGTACCGGGCGGATAAACGCGTCATTTGCAGGAAACAACGTCTAAGGAATCTTAATATTTAATAAAACTATGAATGTTCTATATCCATGTAACGGGAAAAAACTCAGCTAACTGATCTTTTTAATTTTTTTTTTCCAAAAAAACCCACAATGCTAGCACTCAGCCTCTGAATTAGACACGAGCGAAAAAATGTAACCTAAAACGGCACTTAAACTCACAATGACTCCCTTATTACTTATTCTAGATGCACAGCCAACCACTCGTTTTTGTTGTCCTGGAGACACTGAATCTAGGGGTGCCCACCTCAACACTCAGTGATAAACATTTGCGACGCTATAAACGAAAGCGTACATCATAACATGTGGAGCTAAGTAGCTAGAAACGCTAACATGGCTTACCTTGGTCAAAACTGGTCTTCAATGGCATTAAAACGATAAAAAAACGATGCTGCAGTTAATCCATAGGTTCATCCAATGTATCTGTGCCCTCTTTGAAATTATTTCTGATAGTCCATAAGCAATAAAACTGCTTTTTTGTTTCCAAATGCCAGAGCTAGAATGTAGCTCCACTCTGCTCCACATTTACATGCGCGCAGCCCCCACCTTTTCTCTTCACAATGAGTGTGTGTGTGAGCCTCCCCCTTCGATTCGATTGGCTCTAACGGTCAGAAAGAGGTGTCAACCATCAAAATCGAGCAAGGGGGGCCAGAGATATGGACAAAAAACCATTTTCACCCAAATCACCTCAGAGGTGGGGTGGTTTTGGCTAAACCTCTCTAAAAAGGTCAAATGTCACTTGTTTTGCATCAATCTTGATACAGGGTACTTATTA